CCACGTACGGGGCCCCCTCCGTACGTGTGAGCGACCAGTTGTCTGTTGCGCTGCTGCCTGTAAGGCTAGGGGAGCCTCCGGAAGGAGATCGGAACTAAAAGCTATTGCGAACCTTGATAAACACGTGGGAACCCTTGCCCCAGGCTACTTACTGCCCGTAGCACCGTTACACTTGACGTCGAAGAAGAGACGTGTTTTCATCTCGGTTTGCAGCAATTTTTTTGCGGTCCCCTAAAGCAGAGAGCATTCAACTGAACCAGAGGCACACGCCCTGCTGTGCCTCACAACCATGCGTCGTCGTGATCTTAAAGGTAGATTCTCCTCAGCAGACGCTCAGCAGCAGGCTCCTGATCACAGGCGCCCGATCGTTCAGATGTTCCACAGCTCTCTCCAGCTGACATTGCTCACATGCGTAGTGTGCTGAACCAAGTTGAATCCGCACAACAGCAGCAGCAGCAGCGTTCTCTCATGTCTCATAGCGATGAAAGCTCTGCCGCCCCTGCTGCCAGTAGCACCTCGCTTGCACCGCTAGGTTTCAGCAGGCTGCCTGCCCACGAATTACTGCGTACGCCCGCTCCTACGACGAGAGTTCAACGTGCTGTTTACAACCACCCCCCTGGAGCAGCTGCTCATCCAGCAGTCTCGGCCGTTTTTTCCGCTCACGACCTAGACATGTTTCATCCTGCCGCGCTGGACGATTTCGGCCATGACGCCAATGCTGCCGTAGCCACAACCACTCTCCCCAGTAGTGCTGCAGCTGCATCCTCAATCTGTGTGCCATCTCGTACAACCGCGAAGCCATCCGAGGTGCTGCACACCCTGCTTCCGTGGCGTCATACCCTGCTTCGGCGGCATTGTTGACGCCGGAAAGGAAAGTTGCTGCTTCACCTAGCGTCATCCGGTCGACCCAGACTGTGGCTTCCGACTCCAGTGCCATCCGGCCGACCCAGACCGTTATGTCTGCCACCAGTGCCACCCGGCCGACCCAAACCCCGTACTCCACGATCCTGAACCGGCAGCAGGCGGAGCGGTGCACCAGCAGCAACCGATAAAACAGGAGGTGGACCGACTTCACCCCGAGCAGAGTGGCCTCGGTTTCGACACCGCCCAACGGCTCGGAGCACCCTCATCTGCTATAGTTTCGTGCACGGCTTCCCCGCTCCCTCCCCACGAACAGGCCGCCGCTGCCGCCACCCTGTGGGAACAGCTTCGCCGACTCCACCTAGCCTCGTCCCACATGGAGCCTCTCAGAATCCTGGAGGCCCTCCCACGGGACCACCTCTTCGGGAACCCGGTGCCTCAGCCGCAGCCTGCCGCGGCCTCCGACCCTTCCATGGACGAGCTCGACCGTCAGATCGCAGCCCTCCAGCGCCAAAAACACCTCAAGGCGCAGTCCGCCGCGGACCAGGAAAAAACCCGTCAGAAGCAGGCGCTTCCCGACCGGCACGCCGAGCAGCAACGTCTACTGCACCAGCAGCAAGCCATAACACTGGAAGCCTTGATTCCGGTCTCGTGGAGCCCCACTTCACCGTCACCGTGGACGGCCCTCAGATGTCGCCGCGCTCCACCCCAGCGCCTACCGGCCGCGTGACATTGCAGTCTTCCGAACGACAGAGCACCCTCGCCGCCCGCAACATCTACACCTACTTCGGCAAACCCCATGACCAGCACCAGAGATTTGACTCGGGCTCCGATAGTGATGCACCTTCCACCCCGATTTTCAGATCTTCTGGGGCCGGTACACCGCCGATTTCCGGTATCGGCACGACAACCCCACCTTTTCCCACCCCTGCCATGCCTGCGAGAACTACCACCCGGACATAATTAGCCTACTCTGAACGGACGGATAGCTTGAGGTGCGGGCAGGGCTGGCCCGGCTCGCAGACCCCTTCTACAACGCTCCCCCCTGCGACCCATCCGCCCTTAGACGAGCAGTGTGCAGCATCACCGGTTGCGCTGGAAACCCCTGTTGGTTTTGGCCAATCTCTCGAGAATTCAGCGGAACCGGCACTGGCGGACATTGCCCACGCCCCTTCGAACCCTGCGTCTTCGTCTTCCACTTCGCCTTCTGCTCAGCAGAGGACGAGAGACCTCTTTACTTCGAGTACAGTGGTCCCCGAGGTGCTGACCACACCTATATCCCTGGGCCCATAGGATGAATCACCCAGCAAGGAGCGAGCTTCTGCACTGCAAGACCAGTAGTATGGCCGTCAGCCGAGAACAGCAATGAGCCCTCCGGGATGTGATCCCTACACGGGAGCACGAATCTCAGGCCAACGCCCTTCTCAATAATACTGGACAGATCCCCGACTCTTTACCGATTACTGGGACCCGCGGGATAGCGAGAGCACAAGACCAGCCTAGCACCCTGCCTTCACTCCCATGGATATAGTTGCCCACAGGATCTACGTTGAGTGTGGTTCGTAGAGACTTGGATGCATGTCTTGCTTTTCGTAGTACCCTGTGGTATAACCCACGTACGGGCCCCCCTCCGTACGTGTGAGCGACCAGTTGTCTGTTGTGCTGCTGCCTGCGAGGCTAGGAGAGCATCAGGAAGGAGACCGGGACTAAAAGCTATTGCGAACCTTGATAACACGTGAGAACCCTTGCCCCAGGCTACTGCCCGTAGCACCTTTACAGTGTGCTCTCCCCCCCACATACCCCTTCTGCAAAGGTGGTCATTCCACCTCTTTTCCGCTGACGCTCTTCCGTCTTATCGTCTAGCACTCTCTTCTTTTTCACCGAAGCCGTGCATTTTCGACCGTACTTTACAATGCGTTGTGAAGCAGTTCGATGGTTACAGCATACGCGCCTCACGGTAGAGGTCGAGGGCATAAGCCTAGTTGATCTACCGCAGAAGACCTGTTTTTAGTAGTAAGCTAGAGTGTGTTTTGGCGTAAGCCATGTGATGACATGTGGCGCCTGACGACACATCCCCACCATCACCGCTGGGTTCTAGCAAGTTTGAGTTTTGTTGGACGTCATGACAGAGTTGGCGTCATGACAGTGGGAGGTTTGTGCACACTGCTGGAGGTCGCTTGAACGACCTCTGAAATATGCATCCGTTTGAACTCCACAGAACGCTGACAGGCACTGATTTCTCTGCAGAGGTACCCTCCCACCTCTCCGCAACACGACATCTACACGCGCCGCAAAGCACACGGTAACACATCGTACGTTTTCACAAAGTCGTTGGTTGTGAAAGTACTCTTCCGGATTGAACGGACTAGGTCTCTGCCTACATTCTACGCTTCTCTATCTGCGTCCTGTCGACCCATCTGGGTTGGAGTTTCCCCGCGATGTGGACTACCGTTCGATTTGTAACCCGCGAAAAGGTCTGCATTGTTGCGTACAAGAGTTCGCCCTGTGACCTCCTGTTACATTTTGCTTTCCACATCAATTGTGCGTCTTGTTCTCAAGTTTTGGGGAAATCTTTTTCCAGTGTTGGGAGACTTCAGCGATGATGGTGGTGCCAGGCTATTACTGAGCATCGTTGCATCGTTCGTTGTGGATTGCGAGTCAGTTTTTGCTTCAAGTTGTGCGGAGGCGTCGCGGGGGAATTCCGTTCTGGATACGGATGTGTATTTCCTGTTTCAAATGCATTAGGCAAGGGTGTTGAGGTGTATTTGCTATTTCCAAATCAAGCAGGCTGTCTGGACGAACTGGGAAAAGGCACAGATTTCAGATTTACGTTTCAGTTGACGGTACTTTAATTTAAACAAGCCGGATGTAGAATTTCGGAGGAACATCCTCTTTCAGAAGCATCTCGAACCACCGTTTGACTTTCACCTGACTCTCCAACAACCCCGCCCGTTTGTTGAGATCCTTTCCTCTCCTTTCCTTTCCTTTCCACTGTCAAAAACGCTCGAATTTTTAACAATCCGGCAACACTCAACGTTTTTTCTTGGAACCACTGCTCTCCTCGCTTCGCTTCGATCTGTAGGGGTACACTCGCGGCCAGCGCGAGCCAGAGAAAACGTTGAGTCCATTCCCACACCGCCTGTGATAGCGCTCCTGCAAACTGCAAAGGTGAGAGCGTATGGACCCTCTGACCTTGTGGGCGCCGACGGCGCATGAAGAGTTGACGAGTTTCGCACAAGCAAGATGGGGGGGCGCACGCTGCAAACCCGATCAAGGTCGCTTGATTAGGCGCCCTCCCTGTTTAACCGTGACTCGTGATACATGCTCATTTGTTATTTCACGTGTTGATTGATGCCTCTTGTGGAACGGGTGGCCCCTTGATCTATCTAGCCACACTCTTTCATCTAGACCACGGGTAACAGAGCTTCGATCTTCGATGGGTATGCGGTATACACTGCCCCATGTGTCTACCATTGTCGATTCATCTCTCCTGTTTTTTTACCGGTCGTTCTCTTCTCACACAGCATTGTCCGACGCGCCCCTTGCCACACAACGTGGTGGCACTCTGACCTACTTCGAAGAATTAAGTTTGGTACAGCACGCGCGTTTGGAGTCACCTGGCTCTTGCAACGAAGCTGTTTGCGTCAAAGCCTGTGCAATCTTGGCTTTCGCTGCCCTCGGACTTGACCTGGCCCTCGACATCACTCGGACCCTGTTAAGCCCGAGAGGATTCGTGCGATGCCTTGTGCGTAGTCGCGGTGTGGCCTGATCCGCTCCAGTACCCCTATTTTTGCAAACCACAGGTTCTTTGTTTCGTTCAAATATATTTCGCAAGGAATGCTTACAAGAGGTGTTGCATATAGCTTCAGACCTCGCTTGACCGTGGTAGAACTCTCTGATAGACCCAGGCCTGCTGCTTGAATATTTGGGCTTCATGCGGGTATGGCTGGCATTTTCCTGCTGTTTTTCAACAGGCAGGCTGAAAAGTTAAAAAAAGGAAAACCGCCCCACGTAGCGCCCCGTGTGTGATCGTCAACTTTTTGACCGAATCTTCTTGCTGCGCTCTATTTGCCCGTTCGCGTCAACACCCCGCAGCTCTGCCGAACGGCACCAAATAAGAGCCATATTTCCAACCGCAGCAGGAAGGACCGTGGGTGTCCTCGTGTGTCGTACTTCGCGATGAGCTTTTGCACGAAACTCGCCGTGTACATCCTCATTGGCGCCATTCCCATTCTCTCCGTGGCAAACGACCAGCGGGTGAGCTGGGACGGCTGGGACGAACAGTCACAAAGCCCCGACCCTACCACGAACTCACCGTCTGTAGTGGATTTGGACGTGGACAGCTCACATGGATCCGAGTACCGGGGAGGGCTGCACGATCTTGTGAGGCAGTGCGCGGAGCGCCTGGATCTTCCAGGATATACTTGCGAGAAAAATTCTTCCTCCGCCGATTTCCGGATACCGTTGATGGGATCTGGTGACCTTCCTTGCGGGTTTGAGGTACGCGTATGCTACTCGTTCGTCCGGACGCGTAAGCGTTCCAGAGGTGAATAGATCTACAGATATATGTGCAGGACTTTGCAATTCAGAATCTCAGAGAACGCGCCACGGGCGGTTTGCATGCTGCTGAACAGGAAAGCCGACTAGTGTTTTTAATGCACGCCACCATTTCGCAAGGACGGCCCTTGCGCGCGACCTGCGCAGCAGTCCATTGTTAAGCATAGTGAGTGGATTGCATTTATCTCGATACTGAATCGTTTGGATTATATTGTTCTCCTGAGGCTCGTAGTTCTTTGTCTTCAACATTGGCCGCGACGAAACGATTGTTTGTTTGTTTTTCGTACACAACGGAGCGCTAGTTCTGTAGACATGTCACCCTGAATGTCACGGAGATGCCGTCTCCAATAGAAACAAAAACTCTGTGAGTACAACCCGACAACGTGCCACCAGCAATCTTGGCGTCTCCAAGTCACGCTGCACGCAATGAATGAACGAGCCAGGGCACGCCCTTCGCGTGAACCAAGGACCAAGGCATGCGAACTGTAGCTCCTCGTCCGTCCTACCAAATGATCGCGCGTTTTTTCTCGGGGATCCCCTGACATCGGATCGGTACTTCACAAGACATTAGGCCATCTGGAGCAACCCAATGTGGATGTTGACCCTGCTGATGATGAAGCACGCCGCGTATGAAATGTCCCCACCGTTGTACCTCAGACTCGATTGCCGACATCAACATTTGAGGACCTCGCATCGAGGTACGCGATTCACTTCATGGGGGATAGTACCTCCCGTCGATTAGTAGAGAGCTTCATCTCCATCGCGACCGGCAATAGGTCGGCCCACGTGTACTACCACGAAAGCAGGAACTTGACCGTCGACGGATTACAGGTGCGACCTACTCTTTGCCAAAGCATGTCTTGGCTTAGGCCCTCGTCGAAATGTCAGATGATGCTCAAGTCCAAACAACGGCTCATTATTGTATGAAGTTTCGGATATCCTTCGAGGCATGAAATACCTCTAGACTGTGTACATGTGTACATTGTTTAGCTAGTTTTTTTTTGCGCTGTTATCGAGCGAGATTGAACGCGTTCCAGAGCTCGAGTGAGCTCTGAGAACATGGGTCTACGAAAGCGGCCTTGAATGTGCAAACCTCCCACACAACAAACTAGTGGAAGTTTTTATATGAGTCAAAAGGGCTGACATGCAGATCACGGACGCGGCGAACGCGCTAAACGACCGCGGCTGCGCCGCGGTCGTGGTGGTTGGCCACGGTTAGGGATTAGGGTCAGGGTTAGGGTTGATTCGGTTGGGTCCACGGGAAACGTTTTGTTGGCGGTGATCCGTTGTGGAAAAAATCAACAATAGGCCTCTTTATGTCTGTGGTTCGTCCAGAGTTCGTTGTCAGGGATATCTACTCTGCGTGTTGGTTTAGGATTGCAGTATGTAGTACGCAGCAGCAGTAGAATATGCTGTCCCTTCTTTGTTCGCTGTCGCTAACATAGTGTACGCTGGATATGAAGGCTGGTCTACGAACAGCGTGTCCGAGCAGGAGGATTCCTGGAACAGTCAAGAATACGTGGAATAGTGCCAGAACCGGTACCTGGTTCTAGAAGAGTAGTTCGGGTTCTAGACGTTTCTAGACTGGTTCTCGAGTTCTGTGTCTTTTCTAGACATAGTTGTAGGAAAGGCTAGATAGAGCGCACCCACGTGCTGCTCACTCTCATCGTCTACCCATCCAATCAACTTAAAGTCTGGCCTAGAGTCACCAGCAAACCATCTCCGACCCAAGAAGCCCACACGCACACAAGCTTGGCAACTCTTGCTTTTAGTGCTGGCCTCAAGTGACCTGGAAGTGTACACTGCACAACAGTCACACCACACTCCGCCAACATTCGTCTGGTCGATTTTCATGGTAGTGGGTCTGGAACATTTTTAATCTTCCTCCAGGAATTCGCTGCAGGACCGTCTTGCAAAGAGGATATCCCTTCACAAATGCGTGGGGCAGCCCATCAGGGCAGTTCCCATGGGTATACCATGGGCCATGTCTCACAGGCGTTCATGGGCTTCCCATGGGCTTCCCATGGGCGTCCCATGACACATGGGCGATCCAGCCCATGGAACGCCCATAGAGCACCCACGAGACTGGTTGGTCTTCCACGGGATGCCCATGGGCTTCCCACGGACTTCTCATGGTCTTCCCATCGGACCCACGTGAAAACTGCCAAAAGTGAGGGAGACCCCGCCACATCCGATCCGGACGCCTTAAATTCCACTCCGACCTTCATCTTGCTTGTGCGTCGTCCCACGGACAGGGTACCTACTTGACATCTTTAACACCCGGAGAGACATTGTTTGTCCGTCTGCCCCACTTTGCGTTGACACAAAATGATACCATGAAAACAATTCTGTTTTGCACTCTTGTGATCTGCACCAAACGCGAACTCCTCAGAAGAGCACGAGTATCATGCTTGTTTTCTGACCGTACTAACGTTGCTTTCACTGTCGACCTTGGTGCTTCCACTTGACAGGTGAACTTTCACTGGGCGCCGTATTGCAGACAGGTTAAGAATGAAAGCCTGCACGAGATAATGGATAACCAGGCGCTGGATGGTGGCAGGCGAGCAATAATAGTCACCGCGTTTGGCGTCTGGGACTCTAGTCACGGAGGTGGCGATGAGGCTGCCCTGGGCGTGTGTGCGGACGCAGTGAGAAGCCTTGTGCAAGTCGCGCAACCTCCTCCCGCGGGCAGCACAACGGCTGAGAACATCGCTGCATCTCCGCCCCTGGTTTTCCTGCTTCAGAATAACCCTTTCCTTCCCGGTTCGGAGCAAGACCTCTTCTTGAGGGATTTGCATCAGATTCAGCGAGAAATTGTTGATAGTGGTGAACAAGAGGCAGTGTATCTCGTGCACGATAGAGAAAGTATATTCAACCGCTTGTCATGCTACAGGATGTCCGAATCGATCCATTTTAACGATCCCGTCAAGCTCGTTGAGGGTAAGATGCTTTGGGATCTGATTGAACTCGTTGCTCGTGCCGATACCTAATCGTTTTCCTGCAACTGATGTTTTGCAGCATGAGGAGATTGATTACGCCCGTTGTTGGTAGCTCCCCTCGGGTCAAGGAGGGGCCGCGGCGTTGGCCTGGCGCTTGGCCACCAAGAGATTCTTGCAACCAAAGTACCAAACGAAGTAAACGTTTTGTTGGGAGTTGCACTAGGCTACTGCTGCGAAGGCAGGTGCGGGTTTGTCTACACATAGTCTTTTTACAATTTGTGTGTTCTCTGAGAACGCTTCATTTCGCTTCTTTCGGCTTCTGTGAGCGCTCTATTCCGGCCTTCTCGGGCTCTTACAGAGCAGCATTTCCTCTGGAAATTTGGCACTTTGGTGGACTTTCCACTTTTTTTTATCTTCCGCTTTTTTATCTCTCGCCTGCTGCTGTCACCCCGCTCTGTACCATCACACCACGGCATTCCACTCGAAGTACGGCCCTCTCTATGTATGTGTGCCTCCTTCTCCTCCGTTCCTCCGTCTCTCTATGTCTCTGACGGTCTGTCTATCCACATTCTCTTTTCATTTTCGCCTTCTCTCTTGACCGCTCTCGCGTCGGAATGGTCTGTTGTTTGTTCCGATTCCGTGTGCTACTGCTGTACATTTGTTTTTTCTTCTAACACCTTCACACGCGGTATGTACATTTTTTGTTTCTTTTAACACCTTCAAACGGTATGCACTCACCTCCCCTCCCCAGTGCATCAACTTCGTCAATTTCGACCCCCTTCCACGCGT